GAAGACTGTTGATTTTTGTTAATTTTTCATAGAGGTCTAGTGATTTAAGTTTAAAATTACTTAAAATATAAAAAAATATAATATAAATGCATTTTATTTTTACAATAATGCCAAACCTTTAAAATGACTAGATTAACTTAAATAAATATCCATTGTTAGTATAAAATTGACGCCTTAGAAAAGCATGCGCCTCCGAAGCGTATGGTTATCTTTTACGTACGTTGTCATATGGTTATCTTTCTAGGGTTAAATAACATTACATTTTTCCGCGAGAAAAGAACATCTTAAAAATAACGATTTTGTTCAAAGATGTAAGCATAGATGTCTGAGACATGTAAATTCTGTCGAATTGTCTTAAATCATGTCCTAACATAGTGCAAAAGTTCGTTCAAAAATTCTATTATAAATTCTAACAGATTTTCATTATACGAATATATTATCTAAGATATTTAGAAGTATACTACATGTTTCTCGAACGAAATCCATAGAAGAATCATTGTCGTCACGTATAAAGTCAATAATGTTTCTTAGAATTCAAGGATATCACGTTGCGCGATCTAAGATAACCAGTTTCCGGTGCTAAGTCCCTGGAGTCGTCGGTGTCGAGTCTCAAGGCACGAGAGTCATCAGCGCCGTGCTTCTCGTTGCCGTGTCGCCAATATCGGCTCGGAAATCTGCCCTCGCTTACGTTGTGTTTGGCTTTTGAATGCTTCCGGTAGCTTATTTCGAACGTGCACGTATCAACGTGAAATTAACCCCCGAGGGACATCGCGTTAGTGCGACTCCTCGTCGCCAATAACAATATTTGACGCGACTGTCAAAAAGCTATACGTACGTCTGTTAGTGCCTTCAAATATACACCGTTGCCCAACAAATAGTATTTGTCTCTATCATCCGCCAGTTTTCGAGAAAAATTCGACACCTTAAAGTTACAACAACAAGAATGTTTTCTGTCTCAAAATGTAAAGGTACTTCTCGTTTCTGAAATAATTCTGCGAGTACTTATATATATATCTTTCACTTAGAAGAATATCTATTTCTTGAGAATTTTTACTTCTTATCGTGAAGAATCGTTATAAAAGAGTTTTTGTAATATAGTTTTAAATAGTTTAATAGTTTCTATAAAAAAATAAAGACTTTCATGAAAACAAATTATTTTAGAACATTTAGAGAAACTTTTACGATATAAATAGATCTACTAATAGCAAAAACATGAAAATTATAATTACACGTACATCACCCTATTAATTGATTTTGTTTACATTTTTATTTACAATTTGAACATAAATATGTGAACATTCTATTATGTAATACATTGCTTAAAAAGGTTACAGCATCGACGAAATTTGGATAAAAATTTCCGAATGTCGAGAAAATCAGTCGTCAACAGTTCTCCGGGAAAGAATTCGTAAAGATCGTTTAATCTTAGAGCCGCGCGAGAACGCCACCTTAATTAAAAGAGAAACCTCATGAATGCCGAATGCCGAGACCATTTCCCCTTTTTATTTGGTACGTACTTCACGAATGGCCGAGTTCTCTCCCTCGGGGAAGTTCGGCTATCGATTCCTGTCCATTCGATGAAAGACATCGACGTGCTTGCTTTTTAAACAGCTCGCCGGACGGCCACGCCGATTCTGGACCGACGTCTGACCGATCTCACGGAAGCGGCACGCTCGACCCGGGCACTTTCCTATTTTTTCTTTTTCTTTTTTTTTGGACAAGGCGATTTCTCCAGAACTGAGAAATACATGTTCGAACGTGCATTCCCTTCTCGCGATCGCCGGCGCAACAAACTTTCCGCGCGTACAAGCTTTCCCGGCCGTGGCAACTTCTGCGCGCCGGTTTCGATCCTGTTCACAGTCTGGCACACTGTTTCTGCGTAATAACACGTCGATACACTCTGTCTGTTTTGGTGCGGACGTGCGCCGATCTTCACGTTTCGCAGACTGTCTCGATCCCTTCGGAACGTTCCACCGTAGGAGAATTTTATTTGGCCGAAGACGACGTCGATCGACACTTGCGATGTAAATCCCTTGTTACTGTGATACATGGAGCAATTCCGGAAAGATGTGCCTTCCTTTCCTTTGTCGTCTAGTACGACGTGTCGTAGATCAAGAATGCTGTTTTATTGGTAAATAATGTTCCCCCAAAGCGAAATGAAATTGATGTGGCAAAAATATGGAAAGTAATCGTTCAATTCTCGTGTCAATATCCAGGTACCTATTTCTAATTTTTTTTTAACAATTCGTTTCAATATTTTTTTAAAAAATAGCGAACAAAATTTTTACAGCTTTCTGTTTGCTTGGATATTTATAACTCGATTTAAATTTGAGGCATTACAGTATGTCTTGAAACTGTAAAGTACAATGTCATTTAACCTCGTAGAAAACTTTGAACTTTTGAATGATTTTCTGTTTAAAATGTAATTTTGATGAATTTTTATACATCCAATAAGTAATAGAAAATTATAAATACTTGAATGAATTTCTGTTTAAAACGTCATATTAATGAATTTCCACGTCCAATAAGTAGTAGAAACTTATGAATTCTTGAATGAATCACTATTTAAAATGTAATTTTAATGAATTTATATATATATATCTAATAATTAGTAGAAAATTATGAATACTCCAATGAATTTCTATTTAAAACGTAATTTTAATGAATTTCTACATCGAATAAGTTGTAAAAATTTATGAATGTTTTATTGTATATCTGTTTCGAATGTAATTTGGCTGAATTTCAATATGCCATGAGTTATGGAAAATTACGAATTCTCCAATGAATTTCTGTTTAAAATGTAATTCGAGAGATAAAATGTAATGAATTTCTACATCGAATAAATACACAGCCCTGGATACTTAATAAACGGCATCGTCGGAATCAAGAAATTGCATTTCCCCATGAGACCTGGAAAACTGAAAACGAAGCTTCAGAGGCTGAGACAAAAAATTTGATGACACCGGCCCTGTATCACGTGTAAGGCATCCGTATATCTCTTTGTTGGAGCGCGGAAGATCCCAAGCTCGTAAATACCGCGGTCCAGGGTGGGTCACGCAATAGCCTGGCTCCCAGTATTTATCACGGGCTCGTTTTATTGTTTTATCGTGTAAAACACTCGGATTTCATGTACGTAAGCGTAACTAAACACACGTATCTCTACTTGTTCCAGAATAAATGAGAACACCACGAGATCCCAGTTTTTGGCGTACTTCAGCTTCTCGTCCAAAGTGAGCGAGTCCGTTGGCTTGCCTGTAAGAGGCGGACATCCGGTGAACAATACTGGTAAGACAACACTTTTACATTTAATAGTACGTCCCGTTAGCTCGGCGGAATTAAAATACCGGCTTGAATTTTTTTCATCTAAACGGAATCATACTGTTCTCCGTTTAAAAGATTTATGTCATTGCAACAATACTTTGAAAATGATTAAATATTTTAAAATATTCAATTTGTCTGTCGAGAAACGATAGAAATACAATTTAGCGATATTTTGAATGTGTTCGTTCGATCAAGGAGTTTATTATTTTTCGTCGAATTCTTGAATTCTAAAGTTTATGAATTTTTCAAGAATATCAATTCTGTGCTCGTAAGGACCGAGTATTGTAATATTTTTTAAATAACTTTGCAAACGCTTAGCATTTTTTTAATAGCCAATGCGTAAGTTAAGATTCCAAGGGGAAAATGATATGGGGGTAACGCAATTTTTGAGAGTAACAGAAACGGTGTGTAATGATCGTTAGACAAAACATTTTGAAAAGGAACGATTTTTTGTGGAAACGTCGGAAAAACAAGAGCCACAGGAGCCACAGGTGCAAAGGCACGGTAATACGGTCGGTAATAATATCACGAACGAATCGGTACGCAACTTGCCCGGTTTCTTCCTCTGATCATGATAGCTATGTGCAGAATCGAAAGGGTAGTTTCGAATAAGCAATCAAACATTGATCCGCTTAGTATCTAGCCGCGCCATTGATATCTTTGCCTGTTTGTATTACTCGACGAAATTATTATTGAGGAAATATCCAACAGTTGCAGCTTTGAATCTTGACATCAAACGTCTAGGGATGACATTAATATCTGCACCGAGCCACGATTGATACAAACTCAATATCATTAATACAGCTCCGACGAATATCAACCAAATCTGATCCGCTTACTGGACTACAAACATGATCCTGGTTAGATCATTTATTTATAAAAGCTGATCAATTTTGCTGGAATATTAACACTTTGTTATTATTATTATTATTATTATTATTATTATTATTATTATTATTCATAGTAATTGCTTGAATTCATGCATTAACAGATCGATTGTCGACTTTGCAATCACAAAAATTAGATAAACTCACATTAATTTATTCAGCAAAAAAAACTTAAACGTTTGTGACGTTAATTACGATATTGCGTATATGGCGTATTTGTGACAAAAATTAAAGTCATTAATTTGCGAAATACTTTTCTACGATCTCCAATTCATAAAATGACGAAGGATAGAAGTTTTAATTTTCATAAAATCCACAGTTTATTAACCAATTTCACTACGATTTCTTTCACAGCTTTCTTGTCTCCGATAACGTTAACCTTCACTTTTACGTTTAAATATTGATAATAGAAGAGTATAATCTCGATTTAAAAGATGCGAATAACATCCACACTTACTGAATTGTGTATCAAATCTTCGTAACGAGTCGAAACTAGGTAATTAAAATTTATCATAGTGGGTGGTATTTTAATTCTTTTATATTCTAAACATCCTAGCAAAATTCAGTTTGTTCGAATATATTACAACAGAGATAAATATTTAAAGATACACAAAACTTAGTGTCCGGCGCGTACTGAACGTGTTTCATAATTTCCATAATTCATCGAGGCAATTTTAATTCCTCGTATGACTCAATTTCCTTTACTGCAAGATTTTGACAACAGAAGAATCAAAAAAATTTTGTTCCGCAATATTTTTACTATGCTCACTATTGGAGGAGATATCGAAGTGGCCGGTTTAAAAAAAGACACCCTGTATACGGAATCTTCACTGCGCGAACAAAATGAAACGAATGATTAAGTCTGTAAAAGTAATTCACTTGCTTAAACGCTGAGACGTTGAAGGACAAGTTATCCGGGCTGCTCGTAAGTTCGAGGGGTTAAATCGTCGCCGCTCGGTCCCGAACGGGAGCAAACGAGAAGGACAGATGGTGTCCTCGCTTTGCCAAGGATAGAGCAAAGGGAACAAGTCATTCACTGGTGACACAGTTGTGCAAAGTAACTCTGCCATCTCCATCTGAAAACTTCCGATCCATTTTGCCCTGCAGTCCCTTCTGAAACGAAATATCCGAGCCGGTCCGAGGGCAAGAAAAAAGAAAGCGTTGCGTAGGCAGCAGGAAAGACAGAGGCGGAACTTCGAAGCGCCTGTAAGAGGAGACAGGAGGGTGGTATGGGGCAGAGGATGGTAGGAGAAGTTTTGCTAACGGACCGGGGGGGCGCGATATAGGCGTTCCTTTATCCGTCGGAGCGAAATCCGGGAAGAAAATGTGCGAAAAGGCTCGGGTTTCGAGAGCCCTCGTGCCCGCGGAACGTTTGCACTCGACGTTAATTCCAGAACGGTTGGGAAAGCTGGTCCTAGACGTTGGCAGAGGTGGAGTAGAAGGTCGCGAGGCGGCGGGTTGGCTTGATACGGGGCGGTGGACGCGCGAATTTCCTTGCGCAAACAGAGCGGAGGCGTAATTTCTCCCTAGTTAGGTCGAAAATTATGCAAGCTTAAGTGCAGGACAGTCCGGGCTTAACCGAATAAGGGCAAACGCGGAGACATTTCGGACCCCCACCATCACCGGCGAATTTAAACGTACACGGCTGAAGCGATAACGACTCCTGGCCGAACCGGTGCGACCCACCCTGGGACAAACAGCCATTCCAGCTAGCGAAAAAATCAAGAAATGGCCCCGCAAATGTGTCACCCAGTTCGGAGCAAGCCGCTTTGAACGTTCTTCGGGGCATATTGTTTTTTGTTAACACGTTCGCGAACGCGATCACTGTGACGCAAAATGACACGAATGCTATAATATTCAAATTTATAAGCCAGATCACCATATGCATTCGATTCTATATTCTATATATACTTCTTGTAATTATTATGAACCATTAATGTAATGGCTAACTGGTTCATTGAGTAACTTCATTTTATTTGGACTTTTCTTTGCGTCAAAATTTGATATCAAAATTTGGATATCGCAATTATCTATCGCAAATATCCTGCCCGAATGGCCTTCCTTAACAGATATTACTAGAATCACTAGTCAGACTATTGGAAGTGCGGGAACACGGGGTAACGATCGCAATCTTCTATCGGCTAGAATCGTAGTTCGACCCACCGATTTCACGGGAACGTCTGCGAATCGGTAGTTTGAAGAGTGAGCCCCGCGATATCGATACCCTCGGGGACTCGACCGCCGTTCGCAAACCACCAGGTTGATGAAGGCTGATCCTCGCCGACAATTCAGTTACACTGCGGCCCCGGCCGGCCACGGATAATTACCGCGATCGCCAAGTTTCACGCCGCGGCGCGGCGCGGCGGCCGAAATGTCTGCGAGTTACCAGATAGTAACGATTATTTAAACGGCTCGGTACATCCGGCGAGTACCAGAACACGCCGAATGAGAAGAACTTCCGAAGCCAGATCTCGCCCATCTGGTGGAGCATCGCATTTGAATTTTATTAGATTGGCGTGCGTGGAATTGCCTTCTCGACAGCTGGAGTTTACGCGAAAATATTTTTTGTATTTTAATCCTCGCAAAACGGTGGCTGCGACAATTCTTGATCCACAGTATTTAAATCGTTCACTTAGTTACTCAATCTTCGGCAATAAAATACGATAAATTACTGTTACATTAACCCGAGAAACATAACCTACGTCGCAGAGGCGCCTGCGAAATAAACAACTGACTGCACCGTTTTTCATAGAGGTCTAGTGATTTAAGTTTAAAATTACTTAAAATATAAAAAAATATAATATAAATGCATTTTATTTTTACAATAATGCCAAACCTTTAAAATGACTAGATTAACTTAAATAAATATCCATTGTTAGTATAAAATTGACGCCTTAGAAAAGCATGCGCCTCTGAAGCGTATGGTTATCTTTTACGTACGTTGTCATATGGTTATCTTTCTAGGGTTAAGAAGGC